ATGGTGATAGGGCACAACAACAGCGGAGATGACCCATCATGGCTGCTGGAAGAAGTCCACGTTGATATCCCCTCACGTAACGAACACTACGTGTTTAGATGCGGAAAATGGCTGAAAGTCAATAACGGAAAAGATGAAACCGAAACTGTTCTTTATCCAGGTAAGTAGTCATGGGATTCCTATGCCTGTAGAATTTGCGAAGGGCTTGGTATCTAGTGAAGGGAAAAGCCTCGATCCCAACCCTCTTTCAAGTAACACAGGATACCCAATCAATAAGTTGTTTTCTTGTAGATCCAGAAGATAAACGTGTCCCAGTCGACGACCGCATCGAGGGAGTCATTGATGATCAACTATTACAAGGCGCAATGAACGATGAAGGTAATGGAATACCTGTGCTTTACGCCAACCGTTAGGGACTAAGGCCCACGTTCCAGTGCGCTCCCAATCGATGTCTAAATGTATACCATATTTATATCAGATTTTATTTTTCAGATTTGTTCGGCGAGCCTACAGGTAAAATGGTTATAAAACAAAAACAAAAAATAAAAATAATTTAAAGGACCATGTGCATCCGAAATCCTTTGCGCGATTTCCTCACGTGACACATTTTATTTATAGAGCTGGATTACAAGATAGATATCACGACCGCTGACCAGTCCAATGCAGGCACGCACGCTGGCGCTGATTTCCAGTTGCTTGGTGAACGTGGTGAGACTGACAAGATCTTCCTTGGTCACAATGATGATGGACAGCACTTCCAGCCTGGACAGACAGACACCTTTAACACACATGGAAAGGATGTCGGCAAGGTACATTCAGACACCCACTGTATAGCTTGCGTGACGCTGTCACGACAAAATTGCGTGACGCTGTTCACGACAAAGTTGCGTGATACGTTTTTATATCTTCTTAACGTGATGAGACTAATTTCTGCTTTATCTTACGTTTCGATATGAAAGCTTACGTTCTCCTCCTTACGTGACGTTACGGTTTTCCTTTTATTTAACAGCTTCAGTATTTCCGTATTGGGAACGATGGACGCAACGCGTCGCCCGACTGGCTGATTGACCAGGTTGAGGTTTACGTACCTGAMCGTAACGAGCGTTACGTATTCAAGAACAATAAATGGATTGATAACCGTGATAATCCAATCGACATCCCCTTGCGTAAGATGATTAAGCTTATTAGTATTTATTAGTATCAACAGTGATGATGGTGATGTGTGTTGATGTAGAGCGAGGAATGTTGGTGTTCAGGTGATAATAATTACTGCAAATGTGATTGCGAGTGAATAACAATCTTACGATTATAAACACAATTAATCATAAACTAGTCAACACAACGTTGAAATTTACTAATCTGTTTTCTGTTTTCAGACTCTTTCTCACATTGTCAATTAGGTAAGCTACTGGAATCCATTTCATCCATAACTGTTATAAAAGTACAATTTATTTCCAAGCATTGTGCAGTGAATCTTTATCGTTTTTACTTTGTTCATTTTACTAAAGTTATAAGTATAATTCTGTAATGGACTGATATCGTTTCTTGTTGTTTAGTTGGTAAAGAACCAACAATTCCAGATTTACTGGAATTCATGCAGTCTGGTGACAGCACCAAAGCCACCCATGCAGCCTTCTACTTACAACATTTAACTTACAATAACGAAAGCGTCAAGAATGAAGTCAGGTGGGTTGGTTTTTAGTGAGTCCTTTTGGACTGAAATAGTCAGAGTCTTTGCTTTTCCTTTGTTGCTAATATAAAAACATTTCCTTTTCRTSGATAGGGAACTTAAAGGKATCCCAATCATTGTTGACTGCCTGTATCATAGCAACGAGAACGTKCGTTAYGGTGCRGCGTGTGTGCTTCGTAACCTCTCCTACAGCTCAGAGAGTGACGTCAACAAGATTGCCATAGCTGATGGCAGTCGTGATCATGGTGGAATCGAAGCTTTGGTAGATATGCTACAGCGAACAAGCAAACAAGAGGTAAAACACCATCTGYGCATGCGCATTCCTGAATCTTGAACCTATTTTAATCATTTTCTTGTATTTACAGCATCGCGCAGCYGCCCTCGTCGTTCTTCGAAACCTGTCTGTACTAGAGGTAAAAACACTAATAGAAATTACCAATCATAAATAATTGATTAATAATAGTTAATATTCTGTGGTACTTTGCTTTATTACGTTCCTGGGAACTGTATTGAAACCAGAACTAAACTTTCAAGAATAACTTCAAAACATGTAGGCTAACATCTTTGCAAATCTTTTTCCTCAGAGCCTTCGTCTTAAGATCCTTCGCCTTTGTCTTCATATTCTCGTAATTGTTATCATCAAGATATTCTCTGGCTGGGACAAGACGAAAGCACAGCGTGAGCCCGAGAAATCGAATGAACAGTGGTCAGAGCTGTTAGAGCATGCGACACGGATCGTGCGGAATGTCTCRTCAGCTGGAATCGACGCMCGTGAGGCAATMCGSTTCGAGGAGCATTTGATMGACTGTCTGGTTTGGATCGTTAGAGTGGGAGTAAAAAATAAGCGATACGATGATAAGGTATAATTATTATTAATATAAATTTGAGAATTATTTCTATAAATTTATGTTAATTCACGCTTATTTTTAGTGCGTCGAAAACTCAGTTTGTGTACTACGTAACCTCTCCTATCGGCTCGAAAGTGAACTGGATCGAGACATATACGACGACGCTGAAGTCCAGCTCGACAAAGCCACTGTCAAAGAACAGCAATCCCAAGGATGCTTTGCGGGTTGTGGAGGAAGAAAAAAGAAAAAATCCAAAAGTAATATTCCAATGGACAAACAATCACGCAAAGGACCCCCCACGGGACCGGCTTTGCTGTACCAGCCCACCACTGTACGTCAGTATTTTGTTTTGCTGCGAAGTTCAAAGAATCCTGAAACACTGGAGGGATCTGCTGGAGCTATCCATAACCTTACCGCGTGTTCCTGGAAGGTAAGCACGTGTGATGTCACATGATTCCCATGTGAATGATAAGTACATGTGAACTATTTAATCAAAATCATACCCAGAGTTATCCCACCTACCCAAGCAAAAGGATAATTGCCTGGGATGAGTATGCTATCAGCCATGTCATATGATTTCGTTTTAAACCTGTTTTTCTGGTTTTTAGTGGGCTATCAAGATTCGTGGAGATACGAGAAGAGAGCAGGCAATACCACATATTATTAGTCTACTGAGAACAGACTACGACCCAACTATACGCGCGTCGGCCATTGCGCTGAGAAACTTGTCAGTCGACCCTGAGAACAAGAGAATCATAGGTAAAATGCTGTAACATTGTGTTAGGGTGAGGATGATTTGAAATCAATGTCATCGTTTTCTCTCTAGGTGAAAAGGGTACTGGTCCTTTGGTCAATCGTCTACCACAAGGAGATGAGAGAAGCCCCAGGCTCGTCAAAGACGCAACTGTGGTTTCTCTACTTTGCGCTTTGTTCCAACTTGGAAAGAAGAGCGAGAAGAATGCAAGGTAATGTTATAAACTCTTTTTGTGAAACTCTGAATCTTATAAACTGGTTACGCACAAACTCGTTCTCAGGCTAAGTACCTGGGAACAAGGTTGAGTTTCACATGGTATCATGGGCAATTTATCAGTCTCGTGATCGAAATTGTCATTCCGCGCAGACAAAATGACATGTCTATTGCTCTAACCCATGATCCCCTGCGACGCTAGTTTGCCGCTAGTTTACAGTTTACATAGGAGACTAAGTTTCCTGGAAATGATGTATTTTCACAGGACGCTCAAGAAGACTACAGGAATACGTAGAATGGTAAAAATAGCGAAGTCCAACAACAATGAAGCGACGAAGAACAAGTACGATGAACGCGTCGTTAGAACTGCCAATCAGGTAACAGTCACGTGACTACAATTAATCAAGCCACGCGCAATGCATGATGGAGCTGTCATGTTTGCTCATAACATAAGAACAAAGACAATAATATGATTTCTGTTAGAATGTTACACTATGACGATTAGATTTTGTTCTGTGGTTTTAAAATCCTGCATTTAATATTTCTTTCTGGTACAATTTCAGACGTTGGCAAGTCTCTGGCCTCATGAAGTCTTAAAACAACAAATGAAGTCAGAAGGCTGGGAATACAACGCTAACAACAAGAGTTTAGAGGTTGATTTCCCAGAGGAATTTGACAAAGTCTCCCAACCCCCTACCCCCTCAGGGAGCCTAAACAGACRAAGRGAGGACGACACAGGATCGTTTTCAAACAAAGATCCTGAGCTTCATCGTATCCAACGGCAACCAGAATTATACCAACGGTCACCTAGCAGCGACCAAGGCTATCGCAAATATCCCAGTAATTCGGGTTCAACCGCTGGACACTCAAGCCGCGCCGGCAGTACCTCCGGAAGTCAGGCTGATTTTGGCAGTGAGTGGTCTGGACGACAGCGTAGCTGGGGCGAGGCAATAAATTCTGTTCCACCTCCACCCTACCAATCAGATGATAATAGATCTGGTAAAGACTTTATAGAGATGTCCGATAGAAGTAAACCTCCGATTGGGATGAAAAACGAACAGCCGAAGCGAAATGACTTAGTCCAAGATAACCCCAATGACTGGGTCTAGCGACACAGGAATCCCAGAGGCTGGGTCAAACGACTTCGGAAACCCGAATGTAATTTTAACTTTTTTTGAAATAACTTCAAATAGACTAAATGAACAGCGTGTGGAGAGAGGAATATCGTTTCCATATCAGTTCTTTTCGGTGCGATATCATTTTTTAAGAATGAATACTGTAGAGTTTTACATAGGTAAATATCAGAATCCTGCGTGCCCGAAGCGTTACAATCATTTCTGTTCAGAACGATTGATATGCAAGATTCATGGCTCCTTTCAGGTGATTTCATTTAGACAGATGTGTGACATGTAACGCAGTGCCATGACTAGTTAACTTTACAAATAAACACACTTATAAGATCGGAGATAAATATTTTTGCACTGTTCTTACGTCATTATGTTCTTCGCTAAATATCAAGATCACTGCGCAATATTCAAGGTAATATAAGCACTATTTATAGTACTGCCAAATGGCAAGCCGCTGACATTTTAAATACTGCAAAGGCTTGCATGACGGCAATTTTTTTCACATATTTTAAGCAACTTTTATAGTAATTTAACTGAGTGGGGATCTATTCTCAAAAATTTTCCTGAAGTGAATATGTGTGGCTTTAGTACATATAATTCCATTAGCTAAAATTTCAATATACAGTACTGGAACCACGTATTCATCACAGGGAAATCGCCTTTTATAATATGTGCTGTATTTTTAATAGATTTTTAATTAAGAATTTTAATGAACGTCTGACCTTTGTGTACTAAATCTGTAATCTTAATGAGGTCTAGATTATTTCACATTGCTGAAGTACGACTAGCTCTAGATCGCAGACCTTGGCTTCCTCAATCCCCTCCTATCGGGAACGTTTGGGTGTGTGTAAGAATGGGGTGTACGACATCCATTTGGTTTCTTATAGGAATGTTATGTCACCAGCAGTGTGGAATATTTTAGCCATATCGAACACCAATTTTCTATTTTAGGTAATTGTACATTTAACAAGCTGAAAATATTGTAATGTTTATAGTTTTTGTAGGAAATAAACAATTAGTTTGAAGCGTACAATTTTACTTGTTTATTGGACAACACATGCTTTAAAAATACACTTTCTTTCAAATATTCTATGCTATGATTAGTCGAGTCATAAAGACTTGTTAAAAAAACGGACACCTGTTATGGTTTTCCATCATTGATACATGCAATTCATTCCAGGCTATAAAACTTCACCTAAACCACCTACTTGGACTTAATAAAGTGCTATAAAAATCTTCACTACAGAGGTTTAGGGCGTACTTCTGAACAATTATTTACAAAATTTGGAATTGAGTTCATCTTGCTCAGTTACTGTGACTTGTACAATGTTTGATTTTTCTAGGAATGTCTTTCACTTTATTGGGTTACCGTTCTGAGTATTTCTTGGAGCAAAGGTAATTCCGTTGGCAACGGGACCTTGCAAAGTGAAACTAACGACAAAATACACCATGGTTCCTTGGGAGAAATCACGTTCAACTTTGCCAATGTCAGCACTTTTTCCTAAGTACAGTTCAACATTGCCCTGGACAAGTTCAATGTAATACTGCTGTCGTCTTCTTCCCGGCCGTACCCTAATCCTCCCGCTGCATTCAAACAGTTTATTTCGGCTTTCAGTGGTCCAGAAACCTTTGACATTCTGAGGATACCCCGGCACGTCGGAGAGTAGTGCGTTACGTGTTGTTAATCGATTCATTCCTTCTCCCGTCTTCTTTAGGAAATGGGTAGAAATTGCCCCTCGGCAATGTGTCTGGGATTTTTCTTTGCATTTCTCGAGAGCTTTATTGTAGTCACTCTTGAATTGAAGCTGATTTCCTTCCAAAATTTTGATGAAGTATATCATCATCTTGTAAAAATATGGCATAGGGTCGTAGCTACTTTCCTTGATCCACATTTCTGCTATTTGTAACCCTTTTTCCAAGGAATACTGCTTTGGACCGGTTATATGAAGGGAAACTTTCATTAAGTGAATAGCCATACTACAGACTCTACTTCCACTTTTTGCCGTGAATACCAAGTCTTCGAGTAATTTCAGTAAAAATTCGATGTCGGTCTTCTTCAAGGCCCCAATCTGATCAACGCTGGCTAAAATGTAATGCACTTGAAGACGCTTTAGCTCCGACTGGGAACACTTCGGAAACTTGTCTTCCGAACAAAGTGCTATGCACTCTCTGATTATGTCGCGATCTTTTTCTCGTCTTCCTGGGACTTTACCTTTGTTAAAGGTGCTCAATAAAGACAGCCTTAACGAGTTTGCGCGATCCTGGGTCTGTTCAGGCTCAGGCAAGGTAGCCTCTTTCTGGACTATGCTATCGACAACATCCAAAAGGTAGAATGAATCGCCAATGCACGTGCGGAAGAATGGTGGTGATTTTGAGGTGATGAAGTCAAACGCTCTGTCTGTATCCCCTTCGCATTCATTTATTGTGATCCAATCGATACATGAGATCCAAACCTGCACTTCTCCAACAATAGGATTAGCGTAGGTAGGTGGCCAATCTCTTGCACTTTTGAAAGAACGAAGGGCTTCGTCTGCGAGCTGCTCGAGCATTGCCAAGGTTTTGATTTGGCGCTTCTCTGACATATATCTCAGTTTAGCGTAAATGATTCCTCCTTTCACGTCGTAGATTATTCTGCTCTTTGCTGTAGCATTCTTGCATCGAAATGCTTTAGCAATTAATTCTGTCGCAACTGCAAAGTCAGGTGGAATCTTTCTTGCATGAAATCGAGCTGCATGTGTAAACACAGTGGCATCACCTGTCTTCTCGGCCAAGTTGCAAAATATCTCTGCTGCAATATCTGCATTGATATGCTTGAGTTCTTCAAAGAGCATCGAAAATCTAGATTTGGGAACCAAAAGAGAACTTCGGTTTCGGATGAAAAGGTCATTGACCAAAGAGAAGAATCGATCGTCTTGAAAGATTGGGAATTCAAGAAACTGATGTGTCAGCATAACGATATCACACTTTTGGGTTTCGCAATATCGTTTAAGAACTAATTTGGCCACGAGTGGATGCTGTAAGGAATAGTCTTCGAGAACAACAGAAGAGGACCTTTGACGAGGATGTCTTCTTGGTCTGGCAGGAACCATTAGGTTCAAAAGCTGTTCTGTGATCAGCTGATTGATGTCTTCATAGGTAATTCCCTTCTCATAGTCGCTCTTTCGGACATATTTCTTAAACGCTTGATACAACAAGCAAGCTGGAGTTTCTTGTGCTGCATATTGCTTTATAAATGCCACAACTACAGCAATTTCTTTCTGTAATCCTCCCATTTCATCAAAGCTCTCGTCGATGATTTGATTTAGCTTTGAACCAAATCCCTCCAATCCCTTGAGCATTGCAAGCAATGGGAAATGGAATACTCTGCTAGGGCGCAGTAGCTTTGTTGTCTTAAAATTGTCAATGTAGTCTTTATATTTGTCTTCAAATTGATGGACATCTTCTGAGGAATCCTCAAGGTTAACATTGACAAAAAACCGAGCATGAACTTCTGACGTTTCAGGATTTGAACTCTTATCATTTGTCTTCACTAAACTGTGAAGACAACTTAGTAATACAGCTCGCCGTCCCTTATTATTGAGCACTCTTACGAGCTTATTACTAAGAGCCTCAATTCTCGCATGTTTTCCATCCAAAAGAATGAGAGGATTCATATGGCAAATGTCCTGGACCTCTCCGATTCGTTCGGCAAGAGCATTGATAAAATGAATGTCGTCATCGATGTCATACTTGTAATCTTCTAGCTTTGCAATGGCACAAGGGAAGTTTTTGTGTAGATCCCATAACACTCGTCGAGCAATGGTACTTCCACCCGTGCCAGGAAGGTGATGAATTTCAACAATTGTGGAGTGGGTTGGTTCTTGATCTAGAAGACGCTGGATATGAGTTCGAACTTCTTCCCCAAGTTCTCTTTGAGCGTCGTGCTTGTACTTTAGGCTCACAAAGGAAATCCAATTTCCGGACAGGAAAGACTCTCTATGCTCGTTTAAGAATTTATCAAATTGTTCTCCTACGTCTTGAGCTGGGAAGTCTTCACATCCATTGTACAGGACATCAAGGTATTCTTGGAGAAAAAGAAACTGATTATGAGTAAACGTTGCTGGCAACTGTGTTTGAAAGCTTGGCATACGGTATTCATTGCCAGAAGAGACCTGAAACAAGTTTTTCAATCCTCTGCAAACCAGTTCAGGGCTTAGATCAGTGAGTTGTATGCCAAATCTTGTGCGGAGGTCGCCTATGTTATCATGATTCACACCAACAAAATGGAGACGAAATTCATTGAAATTCTCTACGAGTTTCTTCGCAGTCACTTTGATGAAAGGTCGGGTTTCTTGACGAAATGGCAAAATGACGCAAATTAGAGGTTTGTGTTTGTCCATTTTTTCAGGCTCGGAGCAACAGCTTAAAAACCTGTAAAGCTGTTTGACGGAGACGATTTTCCATTCGTCAAAGGATCGAGCACCACCGTTGGCAAGGTTATCTTTCTCTCTCTCACGAACAAACATCCACTGGGTCTTGCGTGGATCAATATGCCTGGCAAGGTTGATTGTAGAAGCATGTTGACGTTGCATTTCTTCAGGTGTAATCATATCTATTAAGCTGCTCTTGCCTTCTCTTTTAACAAAGTCTTTGTACATGCCTTTTTCTTCTGAAGAAGGGTTGAAATCAAGGACAATCTTCCAAGGAACACTTATAAGTACTGAAAAATACTTCAGATTCTCGGGAGACATAGCATCAGTTAGAAGGATATAATTGTTTTTATGATGGTCAAAATCTCGCACAAAGTCTCGGAAACGGATCCACTCATCCCATTTTGGATCACTTGCATCTTGTAAGCGATGCGACGGATTTGAGTTTGCAAGTGATTGACTGTAAAGCAAGCCCTTCTGCACTTCTTCAGCTACCTTAGCAGGGATATCCTGCATTTCTGTACGCAGTTCTTGTACGGTTGTATAAACACTTCTCACCTCTGACTGAACGGCCCCATTAGTAGCCAGTTCTTGTAAAAACATGTCACGATAATACTTGGCACTTTCCAAGACGTCATCTGTTAAAACAATTACATCAATATCGAATCCATTTATACTAAGGTGTCAAACATGTACACAACCTCAAGAATTTCATTATGTTTTTTCGTTATAACTTATTTTTATTTCATGTTAATTTTTTTCCTTTTTTCGCTTTTACCAGTGAAATCTCATTTGGACTTCTTAACTTATAGCATACCTTCAAAGATTTCTTCAATGTGCTTAGCATTTGCCTTTAGCGTTATCAGACTTGTTTGAACTTTTTTCCAAGCTGCATTGAAGTCATCATCTGTCATTCGTTCTGATCTCACATGACTAATCAGTTGGTTTTTCTGGTCTTTGATGGTTCGGATGGCATTTTCATACCCTGGTTTCAGGCGGATTTCCTTAGCACACTCCTTGGAGTAGAGCAGTACTGTTGTCATCAGAGAAACATCCCAGTCGTAAATGTTTCCAGTGTTAAACCTGGCAAGCTCATGGTGTTTTAACTTCATTTTGCCCCTTTCCAGGTTTTTAGCATCATCAGGCTTGTTAGACCAAGTAGGGTGGATCTCCATGAATAACTTACGAAGTGTGTCCAATCCAAGACCATTGACAACGATAAGAATTTTGGACAGGTTATTCCTGGGGATTTACAAAGAGGTGAGAGATGAATCTTTATAAAACCTTGATCTCCATTCAATATTTGTAGGCAGAATATAAATATGTTTTGCAAGTTTCCTTAACTAGAACAATTATACAAAACACATTTTTTAACAACTGAAAGGAGATTAGCTTTTTGGAGTTAATTGTAGCATGCTTTTCTTGAGAAGATTTCCACTTTAATAAGTATTTTGGCCAAAAAGCACAGAATCTGACACCATTGATTTTTCCAATTAAAGTTCTAGTTAATTTTAGATGTTACCGTGTCATGTTATTTGACCGTTTGGAACTTAATTTCGCAACATAGATAAGGACGGATGGATCTAGAAATACGGTGAAAAGTGCAGTTATGTGGGAATAACCGAGTGAAGCGTTATTGGAAAATATTTGTTGGTTTTTGAGATTTTTTTAGTGAGCGGTGTCGTTTCAAATTAATGTTGCAGAACTTTCGAACAGTAACGTACTTTATGCCATAGTCGGCGAAAAGCTCAAAAATTCTTTAATTATCATACTTCATACCTCTAGTGGTATTTAAAAAAGATTTAGATTTTAGAGTCATTTTAGGCAACATTTCAGACACCACCATTGAAATTTAACCGTTTCCGGCAAAATTATACAAGCCACTAATAATAATGAGCTTGGCTACCTGTGTTCGAATGGAGGGAGGAGCCTGGAATGGTTTTGCGAACAAGTGGTCACGCAATCGTTCAACTGACATTCCACGGAATATTTTCTTAATTTTCTCTATGAAAAAGATATATTAATTTTTAAAACTTATATCATGTGTGTATTAGTGCATTTTCTTCGTCATGGTGGTTCTAATTAACAGGTATAAATTATGAAAATTTTGCTTGATATTACCGAGTGTTGCTTACGCGTGACAATCTACATGATAACATTGTCCTCTACTACTGCATAGTATGGTCAAAAATTATTTCTTTATTATTTGTGAATAAAGAGTTGTTGCCAATCATGGCACACTTTTCTTCATAAATTAAAACTAAAGTGGGGTCTACTTCCTGTACATTTGGCTTTCATACTTTTACATCAAGGAATATGAAGCCATGCATCTAAGGGATTGCACATTATTTATCAGGAGGTGGGGTTGAGAATTGAGAGAAGGAGGGCAAAATCTAAAATTTTATTCCCACATAACTGCACTTTTCACCGTATTTCTAGATCCATCCGTCCTTATCTATGTTGTGAAACTAAGTTCCAAACGGTCAAATAACATGACACGGTGTTTTATGGCATTTTCATTCTACTACGAATCTGTCCTTGAATGCAAAATAATATGTAGTATATCGGCCACAGGCCAATGCATATTTATACCTGCGGCAATTAAATAGAGCAGTTCGTAGTAGGGACATGAACGCCTTTAATTTTCATTTGCAAGAGGGGTAGTAATTAACATTCTTGATTTTTTGGCTCATTTCTCCTCCTGATAAATATTGTGCAGTCCCTAACAACAGGGGCAGATCTACAAACTTATCATGGGATGTCCCAGATGAAGAAATGACATAAAGTGTAAGAATTCAGAAAAGTGATACATTATCTTTTTACAATGTAAAAATACATTTTGCATGACTTTTGTA